GGGCTCTGTAACAACTGAATAGTTGGACGATCAAAATAAAAAATGCGCCCATATTTTTTTTCATGTTCAACGAGAGCTGTGGGGGTTCTTTATATTCCGTTTCATTGAGTCCCTCATGTTTTCTGAAACTCGTGTTTTCAGATACCGTTCGGTTTCCCCAACATAGCATTTGTGACAGCTTCCACAGTTCTATTTGTACACTAAATCGGATTATATTTCTTGTGGTGTTTTTGTTTTTTGTTTCGAGAAAAAATGCTTTCCAATTGTATTTTCATTTGAAAAGGTCACTTTAATTTGTTTGCTACTGATAGCATTACAAGATTATCAGATAAATTTTCTACTAGTTATCAGTAGTTATTCATTTTTTTTTTCAGTTCAGGAAGTTATTTAGACAAAAATAGATTCGGTAAAGCTATTACAACTTGAAATATGCAAATCACGTAATTTCATACTCGTTCAGGTATTGCATTGGGCGGTTTTTTCAGTTTCAGATATTCATATGAATAATAGACAAGATTCAGTTTTTGGATTATTTGAAACCCAGGTATGTGACTGTCTCGTGAGAGTTTTAAATAACAGTTTAGAGGGGATACAAAGTGCTCGTGAAATTGTTTGTGAGATTCGATTTTAAGAGTATATATGGGAAAAAAATTATCAAATTATCATTCGATAACGAAAATATACATTTTTAAAATAACCTAAAAAAACCTCTGCAAATGAGATTACATTAAAAATGGAAACGGTTAAATAGATCAGCTTTTTGGATTCATTTCTGGCATAAGTTGCGATGAGTTCTAATCCCGTATAAAAACCTAATTTTATTTTGGCGAATTTTCTACTCAGTTATAATTGTGGTGAATAATTTGAAAAATTCAAATATATGGATATCTGAAACATTTTTGATGACTCTACTCTCACTTCAACCATATTTGCTTCTGAAACAATCAAATTTTTGTTTACAGTTAATTTTCTGAAATTGATTCCTTCTTTTCTTTGGAAGATTCCCACATGTTTTGTATGAAGACGGAGAAGTAGAAGGCCAAAAACTTTCTTTCCCAAAAATTAACCTCTCCTAAAAATACTCTTTCAATTTAAACAGAGACTTAATGTTTCAATCTGGCAATTTAGAAAATATGGAATATAAATCATTGAAAAATATTTTCAGAGAAGATTTTGAAATGAGGTATAGGATAAAAAAAATCAAAATTATACCTTGAACAAGATTTTATAATGAAAAACGTCAAACGTGTTAAATTTTATATTTGCCCAATATTGGCAAGAAAAGCTTCAATCGCAATTTGTTCACTGTTCCAATTTTAGGTTCTTGAAAATAATTAACGATAAAAAACTTCTGAACCATGAAGAGCAACAACACCGCAAGTATTTGGAGAACCGCCAGAAAAAATGTATTGCGTGTGGTAGATAATGAACCGAATATAACTTCCAACATTCTTTCAGGTACTTAATCTTGTTGCAAACTTAGTTTCAAACAGTATGTTCTCGTTTCAATCATCACATAAACACATCACACACATAGCGACGCGCTATTTATTGCACACCTTCAAAATTAGAATGGGCAATCATCATCAACAACTCTGAAGTGTTTTCTGTGATCGACTATAACTTTCAGCGAATTGGAAATGCATCCTCGAAATGTTTCGATTTTCATGCATTAATAAGTTTTTCCATATTTTCAGATTTCAAAACATTAAATTTCATTATTTGCTAGAAATATAACGTATGTCACACAAAACTTGTGCGAGTTGAGGGCCAAAGAGGATCAAAATCTATTTATTGACCTACGAACTTTCGAGGATGTTGCATTAAAAATTGGGAGCTCTTAGCGTTGCTTCAGATAGCGACAGAGTTTTTACACAATATTTCGTGAAAAATGTTTTCCTCAAATACGGTCAAATGAAGAGAGATGAGAATGACAACATTCTGTATTTATCTCACTAATATTTCTGCCTTAGTGCGGCAAGCCGATATGACTTCAAGAATCAGAACGACCATTTTGAAAGAAATGTATGCGGATTTCGAAGAGAAAATTTCCATATTTCGTTCTAAGATGATTTCCTGTATTCTTTGGTAGGTGTAATTTAATCAATTCCAATTTATATTAGTTTCAAAAAGTTTAATGGCCCTTTTGACATGTCATCATTTCACTGATAATAAAGTTTGAAAATCAGTTCAACTGAGTAATCTATAATTACTATTAATTATTCATTGAAATCACAACCCAGTCCGATACCTACCACTGATGGGACTATGACAGACCAAACCATCGCTGGTGGATATGGTATTGCTGAATCATGAATGCAAAGCTTCCGGGCACTGACATCATCTAGTTCTCTGTTTGCAGTGAAAGCTGCAAGGATATAGAAATCGATTTTTCATAACCTGGAGTCACTTAGGGAACTTATCACGTAAATTCACTTTTTAACATATTTGTCATCACCTCCCAAGAAGATTTCAACTAGTTCTAATTATTTCATTATTTTGGATTACTTACTATTGGATTACTATTCGATTTTAGCGTTCTCTTGGAATTAATTAATATTGTCCTTCGATGATCACATATCAAGAATAACTCAACATGTTTTTGGTTTCGATAGATTTTCCAATACTTGAAAAAAATCATATGTTTGACAATTGATCGAGCTTTTGTTATCGATTCCTGGGCGTTTTTCATATTTGAAAAAACTAGTGTCCGTTTTTCGTTTGGCTCATTTTCAAACTTAACTTTGGTGATTACACGAAAATACACGAACTGCACAAAAAAAATTATGATTGTACTGGTTCAATGTCAATAATATGTGATGCATTTACTGAAAGGTCAATTGGAACCAGGGTCATTTTATGGTAGGTAGAAATTTTCCCTTAATTATATTTTAATTACCTTAATTGTTTGTAAAATCTTAATGGTATTTATCTGAAAAGGACTCTTTCTGTTTCTCCCTTTGATTTATTCGCTTCAATAAATAATTCTTTTCAGAACTAATGAGCTATTCTCAAGTGCAGTTTTTTTCGCTTTTTATCATGAAGAAAAGATCTCTGAAAACTGTTTTTCAATATATAACGGAACTAATAATAATTCGAAAGAGCTCTATAGTATGACCCACGTTTTCTCAAAAATGAAGTATTCAAATCTTGAAATGAACCAGTACTTTTTTCCTAGAAGACATCAGTTGATATATTGTCTTCAATCTAGGACCGCCTGCCCGGTACTGACGATGCCCTACTGGTGGCTCTTAAATTGAGATCAATTCCTATGAGAATGATCAGAATAGAACTTATCCATTTATCTTTTGATTTTCATGAAATTATTTTTCAGCAGCTTGACTGCATTAACCTTTTTCGATTATTATATATTATAAATATTGAACCGCGTCCGGTGTTTTTAGTAGTTCGACGTTTCGGCTTCGACTGTGAAGTAGTGACACGCTGTGAGGGTTTGGTAGGAACCGCTTGTAGGACGTGTAGGAAATGTATCGCACCGTTGATAGCTTTTAATGTACCTCATTTGTGATGGAACTGGTCTGTACTTCATGGAAATCCATTACTTATTCAAGAAACACTTCATTGTGAGATTTTCACTGAATATTTTAAATAACTCCATCTAGCCTTTTGATACTGTATGTGAAAATCTCACAATAAAGTTTTTATGTGTATAGTATGTTTGAATTCTTTGAAAGAAATATTTTTGTGGACTACCTGATATTTATAACTGTTTTTTGGGTATATAACTTTTCACAATCTTCCTTTGATGGTCGTCTAGTTTTTGACGTATGTCAAAAAAATTAGAGCTATTCAAAAATTGAGGCGAAAGTTTTGTGGTGAATTTCAGGTTCTGAAAACAAAAAGATTGTTTTCCGAAACGTTGACCACCAAAGACAGAGTGTGGAAGGTTATATAATAAAAAAACTGTAGGATATACAGGGTTATTCAAATTCGTTTCTGTACATGGGAATCTCGAATATAGCCCTTTTGGTTCTGGAGATATACAGGAAAAATCAAAAAAACCCAAATTATTTTTTTGTCATTATCTTCTTTATTCGCAGACATATTGAAAATCTGTCCACATTTTGCTATCGGCACTTAATGTGAGCTATCAAAATATGTTCATGAATCTTTTATGTAGGGTGTCATCTGACTTGGGCCACCCCAATCTTTGAATTTTTAAATACGGACATGTATTTTTGGTTATAGTTTTTGGATCGTAGACATTCACTTTATACTGAGAAATTGAATTTTATTTTATATTTCTGGATGTTTCGGTAATATTTGATAATAATTGGGTGAATTATTCCCTTTTAAATTACTCAATTATAATCAAATATTACCGAAACATCCAGAAATATAAAATTCAATTTAATTTCTTAGAATGAAGTGAACGGCGACGATACAAAAACTACAACAAAAAGTATAGGTCCGTATTTAAAATTTCAAAGATGGGGGTGGCCCAAGTCAGATGACACCCTATATAAAAGATTCATGAACATATTCTGATAGTTCACATTATGTGTCAATAGCAAAATGTGGACAGATTTTCAATATGTCTGCGAATAAAGAAGATATAGGCAAAAAAAATAATTTGGGATTTTTTGGTTTTTCCTGTATATCTCCAGAACCAGAAGAACTATATTCGATTTTTTCACATCTTCGAATAGGTCTCTGAAATGCGCAACTTTGCCACAATTGAATCTACACTCTATCTCTTGTCGTCTACGAGAAACGAACGTGTACAGAAACGAATTTGAATAGCCCTGTATATGTTTGTATTATGGATTGAACGATGATTTTTTTGAAATGGTAACTTTCACACAAAATTAAACATCAGCACTTTTTTGTTCATAATTAATAAACAACATTAGATGTGAAAGAACACTTTTTTGGAAAGGGTAAGTGTTTCGGAAAATTGAGTCTAATTTATAGCGATTTTTACAGTGATTCAAGTATTATATTTATATTTATTCAGATATACATATATGTCTACTCACTTCCATCAGTTCTTTTCCTTCCTCTGTGGAGGTTAGTGCGGTTAGAGTATACTGGCAAAAGTCCGGGCAATATGTTGGAAAACTTTCACCCTGCAGTACTGCTGAACATCCCATCAAATAATTCTGAAGTGCCATTCCACAACCCACTCGATAAGCACACTTCATACGAGCTTCTTCACAAGGTATGGCCGATGTCTCACCCACTAACCACGTTACTGACAGCATGATTAACCACATACCGCCTGAAATGAAAGAAGAAAATTTTACATTTCAATCAGGATTGAACGTAAAACGAATGAAATTCTCATGAAAAATGAGAAATGAACCTTTCTGTTTTTTACCACTTCTATTTGTAACTAACGTTACTGCAGTTTCGTCCTCTGAGGACATTTTCAAACGTATACATTAAACTAATTACTAGTCCTCAAAGGACGAAACTGCAGTAACTTCAGTTACAAATGAAAGTAGGTCAATGTATAAGTTTGAAAATGTACGTATAGGACGAAGCTGCAGTAACGTTAGTTACAATTAAAAGTGGTATAAAACATAGAAAGTTTCATTTATCATTTTTCATGATGATTTCCTACCAGGTAGTAACTAACGGCTATATCCTAAATTCATCAAGTGAAATTAATTGGGCCCTTTTACGAAAAAAATACGTTTTATCGAGCTTTTCTCCAATAATTACTGACGGAAGAGTGTTTTGAGCTAGCGAAAAATGTTCCATTCCATATATAAATTATTAAATGATATACCATGATTTCAACAGTTTCGCTAGTGATTCCTCCGGGATGGACAACAAGAGAGAAACCACATATATATCTCCAACAAAAGTTGATTCAGATGTGTGTAAATAAGCATTTCATAGAGGAAAAGATTTTAAATTTTGCTGCCAGAATGGATGTCATCGATTTGTCATTATCATGGCAGTGTTAATGACTTCAGTTGGATATGAAATGTCTGCGTGAGATATTTTAAATGATTGAAAGAAAACAAAAGCAAATTATTATTACTGGAGTTTTTTCCTCAACACCAAACCGTTATTTTAACACCTCGAGACATGTTTCGATCACCAAATGATCTAGATGTTAAAATAACTGTTTGGTGTTGGGAAAAAACTCCAGTAATTTTCATTACTACAGCAAAGGTTCCAAACAGTACATCACAAGTTTAACCAAATTAAGTTGGGGTGTTCTATCAATCATACATCAAATATCAGATGCTTTATTCGAGCCTACTCATTTGTAGGGCATATACATTCCATACTTTTACTTCATTTCATTTTCATCTACACATGCCATATAGCCTGATTACTATTAATAATAATATTGAAACCACTTTTTCCATTTCACTAATCAAATCAGCATCATCAGGAGATGATTTAGCTATGAAGCTATGCTTTTACAAAAGTCCATACTCTAAGTGTACAACGCATTACAGTTTTTGGCTATTGTTTTTAACATTGCTATAATAAAAAGCGATGGAAAAAATATGATACCGTAATGAATTACTCAGTGTTCATCATATTTAATTTTTCATCAAAATTTTTCAAACTATTTTGACCGCCCCAAATCATTTCTTTTGATGGAAGTGTTAACTTAAATATACTCTCATGTCTCATAAGACATATACATGCATGTGAATGTAGGAAGTCAACATAAGGTTCAAATGACTTCACTGCTCTTCACTATTATCGAATTTGATAGAACGGTTGACAATACCACTATGAATATGAATTTCGATTTAATATTGAAACCATTCTAAACCTGTAATGATATTTTTGATTTTGTGATGTTAAACCACATTATGATTATTATATTTTCTGACTGAAACTTTTACTTGTTCACTCAAACTATATAATTCTCAAACTATGTGTGAGCTGCACAGAGTTCCAAAAAAAAGGCCCAAGAACTTGAACTTCAAACAGACGAATGACCCACTTAGATAAAAGTAAATGAAGCTTCGAAATTAACTCACTTGTTTTCTCGTTTCGTGCACAATATGATAACTGAAACTAATATTCAGTCCTATCGGTTCCTATCGCAAAAAAATATTAACTGGTATGATCCGAATGATTAAACCCGTATTTCAAGGCATACGTGACCAGCCACATGCATGCTTCATAAGGTGTTATTGTCACTCACAGTATCAGCTAACTTTTGCAATTTTTAACAATGCGGAACGACAACCTGCATTTTATGTGTCATTATTAGTTATCTAATTTTGTTTATTCAATGAAGATATGACCATTATAATTGTTGTTCATTACTTTTATTAGCGATGAGTACCTACAAATGACAGTTTGGATACAATTTAATATGTATCATACTTGGCAATTTTTTGTACCGGAGGAGCAACAATTCACGTGAACTTGTCGTATTTAATAATTTTGCCTATCGAAAAAAGCTAAGACAGTATAAAATAAATGAAATTTCATTTGTTATGTCTGAGTTTAGTTGCGATAACTATGTTCTTCAATTCTTTGGGAAAATGTTCTCCCTGTGTGACCCATATATAGACTATTATTCGTTCTGTAAGCTACGTTTACGCATTCTTTCTCCAATATTATTGGTTGGTTCACCCAAATATAACAATCTTCTATAACTGAAGAAAAGAGAATTGAAAATTTCTATGTTTTTTACCATTTTTATTTGTAACTAACTCATACATTAAACATTAATTCTGTTTCGAGTGTGAACCCAAAAAAAATAGTCAAAATGAACTGAAAAATTTCCTCTTAGATACTAAAATCATTTTCACGGAATCAGAGAAACGGAGAATCACCAACATGAACCCCTCTTGCCCTAAACTATATGGCCTGACAAAAACAATTAAGAGGATAACCCCATAAGACCGGTAGTTTCGTATATAAATATTCCGGTAAGAGAACTAAGAATACAACAAGTTGTTCAAAAATATCACCAATTTCGTCCCACCTCACAGCATTAAAAATTCACTGACTTTAGTAGAAAACATAAGGAGCCAAACCACGCCACATAATTCAATTTTAGTTTCATTCGATTACTCAAGTAATTCTTGATTCAACATTCTCACATTTTAAGATAATTTACCGTTTGCCATTACTATACACCCAAAAGAAAGGGACCCCATCATAAAATGTGAGTAGTGACTGCCAGGAAAACATAAAATTAGGCAGAAATAATTGACGAAGGATGACAGAAATCAGTTTCGTCCTGACAGGTTAGCAAGTATTTCCTATAGATCTAATCTGTTACCGAATGTTACAACTTTTGTAAGTTACCTGACTCTTGAAATAGTTCATTCCCATATCATGTCAAAATGAAACTTTGCTGACGCAGATGTATGCAAAGTAAATGTTTGATTCGTATTTTTAAGTAGATGTTAATGGATTCCATACAAAAATTAAATTATTCTTTGCATATGTGTAATGACAGTTATTTGTTGAATATATGTCGGAATCAAATACAAGGAATCCTTTCGATTGATGTAGTAGGGTCCCGTACGATCTTTGTGTATACGATCTTTGTGTATACCGAAAACCCACTCATACGGGACAGTATCTGAACCACGAATCCAACCACCATCAATCGACAAAAATCATCACGAAACATTGTCAATCACCTTCAAACAGAAATATAGTATTTCGTACCCTGTCTCATATATGTGTTGCATAGATTTTATTATTGTGGAAGTGGTGAAAATTTTACAATATTTTCTATAATTCTGTGGTTACTTCAAAAAGTAGGTTTGATAATCTTCGTTTTCATTCGTTTTCTTCGTTTTTACCTAAAATGAACAAACAAATGAAACTAGAAAATAATGGTTAACCATGTTTCACTCCATTCTTTTAGAAATAAAATCAATTCGGATTGAAAAAATTGTATCTATACAATACTTTCAGTTTTGAAAAACTACCTGGATGGAAACTAGTCCAGTGATTTGAGGTTTTACCTGCGGAAAAATTCCTACTGAGCTGAATTTTGATATACACCTTTATTATGGGGTTTTAATGAATATGTGAAAAATCAACATTGACATCGTGCCGCCTAAAAAAGTTATAAGGGTCAAAAAGTCTCGAAAATCAGTTTGTCGGGAATATCTCGGAGGGCTCGATTATCTACAAAAAATGTCTTCAGCATTTTCTGTAAAGTCAACCGTTTTCGGACTAGAGCGCTGAGAAAGCGACTAAATTATGATGAAGCACTCGTTTCCGCACCACCTTTGAGGTAGAATGCAAGGCGCGTTTTTTTACATGGTTTTCTCCGTAGGTATAATCCATGAACGTAATAAAAGGATTTTTTGTTTTATGATCAATAATTTTTCATTTGTGCATTGAAAAATAGGGAAAAAATGTTTGTATATAATTTTCTTTTATATTCATTCGTCGTTGATATCCTCAACTTCAACTTCATCAAAAGTTGCTGATAAAATATCTAGTGGACTTATTGCTGTATTTAAATCAACATCTTCATAATTTTCTTCACTAGTGGACTCTGCGTTTGAGCATGACTGACCACGACAATGCCCACAAGATTTTGAACATCTCAATCCAATTTTTTTACATCCACATTTGCCGCCACAACCTTTTGTACAATTACAAAAGATTGTGTTCAGTAGATCATCGGGTGCCGATGGCAATAAAGTTGTTATTGATTGTAATATATTATTTTTCAACTCCCAACCCCACTGTTCTAGATCAATTTTTTTTCCTAGCCAGGATTGTATTTGACTCGATAAATATGCTGTTGAGCTGCTGAAGAAATGGGTGGTAATAATTTAAATTTCACAGATGTGCTTTGTCTTGTTAGTTCAGCAAAGCTGCAGTATCTGTAATTGTCAATTGAATTTTCTGATTTCGGAGCACCGTACATTGCTAATAGAAAATGTATTCCAGCATTGACAAGGACATTTCGAGCGCATTTTTCTTGTTAAAATATTCCTGCAGAATTGTGTAAATAGGGTCTTTTTTCAAACATATTCATGCCTTTAATTTTTTCTTTCCCAAAAAGTGTTGAAGTTATTTCACATCCGGTCATAGCATGTAGAAACAGAATATTTTTTTGCAGTGTGGATATACTTGTTGAGGCTCTCAATCAAGTATATTTTTGTTTCAACATTGTTTTTTCCTGGTTTCTTAAAAAGAAAATGGATGTAGGTTGATAAAGTATCTGTGTGCGTGCTATGAGAAGTACCAATAGATCTGTCTTCGCCAACGATAATTGTAGTATAATTTATTGATTTTTCAATTGTTGTTTCAACT